GGATTAGGAGAAGAATTGTAAAGTAATTTGCTGCTCTCCCCTGTGTGAACGCGTGGCGGGAGCAAGCGTCGAAATGGCTCCCTGTTGCTGCACTGTAGCCGTGGCAAGGACAGACACCGAAAGGCTCCCCTGCCGCACTGTAGCCACAGCAGGGGCAGGCGCCAAAGTCAGTCCCGCTGTCACATCTAGTCACTGTAGCAGCATGACATCATGGCATGTCTGTGTACTAGAATTAGATGGGTAGAGTTGTATATATAGCTTTCCACTGTAACTCAGTAAAGAGAGCGAGTTCAGTTTTGCCATCTCCTCTACAGAGCTTCAGCGAACGCTGGTACTTGTACTGTGTGTGCGCGCGCTCTATTCTCTCTCCCTTCTTCTATCTCTAGCCATAATATGTGTTCGGCAACGTCGGTGAGCGATTGGCTCACCCGTGCGAGAGATCCAGGACCAGCAGCCTTGGGGCATCCCACGAGAAGGAAGATCAGAGGTTCTTCCAAGAGGTGTCCTTGAGCTTCATCCGGTTCAGCAATGGTCTATGATCTGACAGTGGCAGACGAGAGCGTCCTGCGGTGTGGCGTCTGCTTCTTCCCACTGAAGCCGCCCATCTTCCAGGTACAAAGACGCTTTGGTCCTAGACATGTGTGCGCCGCCGCGATTCATTGACCTTTTTTTGTTGTGTGCTTATTTTTATAGTTTGGTATGTATTTGCAGTGGGCCGTGGGGCATGCGTTGTGCTCTAACAAACTCAAGAATGCCCGCAAGTGCCACCTGTGCCGTGTTGCCATGCCCGACGGCTACCCAGGGGCGGAGCTACAGGGTGGTCCCTGTGGGCCGTGGACCACCCTGCGCTCGGCCCAACCAAAGCCCATAGGTAGAGTTAGGACTCGCTCAGTCGCTCAGGATCTTCGGGCTGTCGCCGTCAGTTCATCTCCAATCGTATTGTTTGCTTTCCTTATTTCGCGTGGTGTGCGGTGCAATCGTGGGGTACTGGGATCGGTGGACGGCCGCGATGCAACTGCTACCGGCGGCGAGCACCAGTCGGCCATCGCCCATCGGACTCTAACATCGGCATCTCCACGACGGCAAACGCAAAGCAGCAGCCCAGCAGGTACTCTGAATCCTAGCGACTCCAAGACTGAACTGCTGAGCCAACGTTAAATCCTGCTGGCTGCTGAGCCAACGTCTATGATCTATCCCTATTCTCCTTTAGTCACAAGTACATACGTTTCTTCTTTTCCTTTCAGTTTCTTCAATTTCAATATATGATCCGTTCGGTGATCTGCGATCTGCACAGACAGTCAGACAGGAAAAGTGCACAAGCCATAGGGTATGCAAAACTATTTTTTTTTTGTGCAAGTGCAACAGTGAATTATTTTATTTCAATATATGATTTTTTGCAGTATTGGATATATATTGAAACATTATATAATTCTCTTGGAGAATTGTTGAAACAAAGAGCGATAAAGTTTATCATTAGTTCTATTTACTTATCAAATTAGTATAGCATTAAAAAAATTTAGACAATGGACAACCATAGCTACAAATCCTGGCTACGCCACTGCGGCTACCAACGGTGCCACGGCCTGGAGGATGTGGTGAACTCCATCCGCGGGCCATGTCCGCACGCGCCCTATGGCTGTGACACAAGGCCTACGTACCACGCTCGTGAGGAGCACCTCCTGCAGTGCCCGCACGCGCCTTGCCACTGCCCCGGCGGCAACGCCTGCAGCTTCGTCGGCTCCGTAGCGACGCTCATTAAGCACCTCACGGCGGCGCACGGCTGGTCGTGCACTGCCGAAGCCTGTGACGGTGCTTCCTTTGGCGTCTACCTCCGCGATGGCTTCAACTTCGTCACCGCTGTCCGCAGCAGCGCCCACTACCTGTTCCTACTGAACATGGCGAGTACACCGTTCGGCCACGCCATCTTTGTGGTATGGATACGCTCTCCGGCTGCCATAGCCATAAGCTCCTCGGCACCAGCGACAGGGAACACGACATGCGACCTCGAGCTCATCTACTTCATGCAGTTCAAGCATGTCAAGCTCCAGCGCGGGCATTGTGAGAGATCTTGCTTCCAAGTTGAAGGCACGTGCCCCTCGAATGGGCTGCCAGATCACAAAGCCTCTTTCCAGTTCTTCGTTCCAAAGTATGGTGGTGGAACTGAATCCGATGAGGCTCCTGTTTATGTCCTTGCTATGATTTCCATCCGTTCATCGTAAGCAAGTAGATGGATCATGGACCTAGACATGCTTATTTTAGAATGCTAATTGTTAGCATTTGCACAACAATCTCCATCTTTTAATTTTCACTGGTCTTTGCATACACTCTTAATAATAATAAGTACTCCCCTGGTTTTGTGATATGATTTGTTCACTGCTACATAACAGTCACTTACTACCGGTTCGTGGATAACCGGTAGTTATAGATAAGTTTTTGCCATCGATTCGTGGCTATAACCGGCAGTGATAGTGGCTACAACCGACGATGATAGACAGGGTAGACCTATAGCAAGTACAATATATATTCGCTAGGCGTAGGGTATGCTATAGGTCTGCCCTGTTTGTCGCTATCGGTTATAGCCACTATCACCGTCAGCACCATATGTTCAATGAACTTTCTTATGTAAATTAGTATGTTAACTCTAGAAAAACAGAAGATTTCACATAAGAAAGTAGAAACAACACTTTCTTATGTAAATTTGAAAAACAGAAGATTTCACATAAGAAAATAGAAACAACTTTCATATGACCACCTCCACAGTCAGAAATATACATGATTATTTTCAATATTTTTCAGTATAATACTATAGATTACTTCTTTTTCACCGATCAAGTTCACAGAATATAGATAGCTGTCGCATTATGGAAACCAACAATTAATAATATCCAATTCTCATATCGTAGTTTTCTATCGACTACAAATCTATCATCTCTTCTATGTTTATATCTTGAATTATTTATATTGTAATTTTTCAAAGTTTTCAACTTAATATTTGAAACTAAGATTTATTATGTTATTTAGTGTATGTATGTCGATAACATTGCAATTTTTAGAATTATTTACCGAATTAATAAATGATTTTATCAAATTGCCAATGAAATTTGTTACGGGGCATTCTCTTTAGTAGAATTTATTGTGGGGCATACAAACTACCAAACTACATATGAATTTTTTTAGGGTTTACCCTTTGGTACAATTGTTTACCGGCAGTGATTCACACTGTGCTCTGCAAGGATTTTTCTTGTCCTGCGTCATTCGTTTCATATTTGTCCCTGTTTCATAAAATTTAAATAATTCTAAGCAGGGAACAAAACATAGAGGATGATTCTAGAAAAAATGAAACTGGTTCTTTTTTTCTGAAAATTATCTATGATTTTCTAATATTAAATTAGATTTTAGTATTTTTAGACGTATTTTAATTCCAAAAAATATTTGTATATTTTAAAAAATCATTTTATAATTGTTTGATAAAGTTATTGTGAAAGTCCTATTACCTCCATCATGGTTGACATGTGGCTATGTAGGATAACTAATGTGGCGCCAAACCAGTCAAAAGTATTTTCAAAATCATTCGGGACCTAAATCATACTATTTTAAAAGTTGATAAATTAGACTTGAGCTTGTGCAATAGCTAAGGAACTGAAATTGACTTTTTCCTTTTTTAGTTAGAACTAGCAAATATGCCCATGCGTTGCAACGAAACCCAATACATATAGGAATTAGACTTCATGTCATCGCTAAACGTGAATTGTTAGCTCGGGTCATGAATCCAGGCCAGATACGAGATACAGAGGGCGCGACCCAATACGTGTTGGAATCGGATCCCATATCCATCATCTCTAGACACAAGTTATTCTAACTCATATGAGTATGGGTCATAAGTCTAGGTCAAAGTAGAAAAAAGTGGGACAAAAGAATTTCTCCACTGTGTAGGTACTTAGAGAGAGATGAGAAAAAATGAAATGAAGTTTATCGAATTAAAATACAACATTAATATTTTTTCGTTGTAAGTCACATAAATATTTAATTCTAAATATATCGTGACTTTAATTTTCATACTATCCGGTAAAGTTAAATGTCGAGTTCTATAACATTATTTGAGGATTCATAAAATCTATTTTTAATTTTTGATTAAAGTCAGCAAGAAATGAATTGTCACCCCCATCAAAGGATTGGTTTACCCGCTCTAAAATTTGCATATTGCGGCCCTTAGTCAAGAATTACAGTGGTACATGCGTATAATTTTACTTAGATTAGATTTAAACTACTTAAGATTTCAGTTCATGGTTTGATTAATTGGGCCATCAATTAATATAGGTCTAACAAAAATAAATGTTATCACTAATTAAAACTACATCAATAATTTAGTGAAGCAAATATTTGTTTATTATTAGTGATGAAGAGTAAGAAGTTCAAACATCCGTATTATTTATCTTTATAATAAAAATGAGATACTTTGGGGAAAAAACAAAAAAAGAGACAGTAATGACAGGACGGGCGGAGCCGGAAAAAAAGGAACGCACGATGTGTATTATATAAATATAAAAAACGGACAGAAAAAGGTACGCACAGTATTGGAGTCCGGAGTGAAAAAAAAAAACAAAAAAAAAGAAAACAGACAACGAATGACACACACAAAAAAAACAGACAACGAAACGACACGGACAACAAAAGCAAAAGAAAAGGAAGCCGCACACACAAAAAAGAAGAGGACAAAATGACAAAAATCAAGAAATATAATATAAATTTATCTCTTCTCTTTTTTCTATTTGGAAACTAGATCAGGCCCAGGGCCCACCTTCCACACGCTCCCCGAGAACTCCGCCCACTCGCACAAACCAAGACAAAGTTGCGATGCTCCATCCTCTACGTCGCGCCGCCGCATCTAACCCTCCGGCGACTCACCGCCGGCGAGCCGATCCGCCACGCCATAGCCTCGTTCTGAAGCGCAATTAATCCTACGCCTCGTTCCTCTCCCGCCCCCGCTACCCTCCATAGGCATGGGAATGGGGGCCGCGAGAGGGGGCGCAGGGGGCTGGCTCCCCGGCGAGCGGTGGCGGCGGGTCCTCTTCCTCGCGCTGGCGTCCGTCTCCTTCCTCATCTCGCTCATCCTCCTCTTCATCTCCGCGCCGCGCCTCCGCCTCCCGAGCGCCGCCCTGCCTTACACCGCGGCTGCCGCTTCCGCCGTCCGCCGCGGGCCCGACGCGCCGCCCTGCCTCGCGTACCTCCTAACCGGCGCGCGCGGCGACGGGCGTCGCCTCCTCAGGCTCCTCCTCGCGGTCTACCACCCGCGCAACCGGTACGTGCTCCACCTCTCCGCCGACGCGCCCGACGACGAGCGCCTGACCCTCGCTGCCGGGGTCGCCGCCGCCGCGCCCGCTGTGGGAGCATTCGAGAACGTTGCTATTGTCGGCAAACCCACCGCCGGGACGCCCGTGGGGTCCTCCGGGCTCGCCGGCACGCTCCGCGCTGCGGCCGTGCTGCTCCGGCTCCACGCTGATTGGGACTGGTTCCTCACGCTCAATGCCGCAGACTACCCCCTTGTCACACAGGATGGTAGGGCAATACTGGCATCTATGCATCTCTACATTAGGGAAAAAAATCTTCTCTTTTTCCTGCACAAATTTCACGTTATGGTCTTGGAATGTGGCACATGGGGGGTTTCTAATTGGTTGGATTAGCTGGTCCAATCTAGGTTACAAAAGAATGGCAATTGGTTGTCTTCTTCCTTTTATTATATGAACATTGCAAGTAGTCTTCTAGTAGCTATTACATCGAATGGAAATGTAAGTTCTGCTTGATTGTGCTGACTGATAGCAAATAAATACTTAGAACTTGGAAGAGCTGCACACCCAGTCATGAGTCAACCATACACATTTCATATAATTCCAATTGCCTATTAGGCACACTGTCAGTCTTATTTTGCATTGAAAGTTGTACTCTCAGTATAATTAATAATAGATTGAGGCTCCCCTTATTTATTGATTATTATAATGCACATGCTAAAACTTGTGCTGCTGCTATACTTATATCTGTTAACGTGTTATAGGTCTGTTGTAGAGCCTATGCCAAATGATGTTCATGATTACAAATTCTGTTATACATCACTCTTGAATGCTAGAATATATTATGCTTATTCTGGTTCTCCACAAAAACTATTTATCTTTTACAGAAATCTGCTTGGGTGCTTCATTAATTATTCCAGCAAGTCATCATTGTGTGATTATCCTTATTAATTAATGGAGATCAATGTTTTCTCCCTGTTGCAGACCTGATTCATGTCCTTTCTTCTGTTCCAAGGGATCTTAACTTCATTGACCACACCGGTGACATTGGATCAAAAGAGTATGGGGCATCTAAATTTTCAAATAATTTTAGCTGTTGGCAGCATTGTTACTGATCAAAATTTCTATGCAGACCTGAGAAAGTGCAACAAATTATAGTTGATGCTGGAATTTACTTGTCAGGGAGGACCAACTTCTTCCGAGGAACACAGAAACGACCAGCTCCTGAGGCTTTTAAGTTCTTTACAGGCATTTCTTGCTCTCTGTCCCTGGTTTGTTTCCATTGGTCTTAATAATTTCCTCACCAGTTTATCTCCTTATTAATAGGTTCTCCAAGGGTCATATTAAACCGGCGATTTATAGAGTACTGCGTTCTTGCTTGGGAGAATCTCCCTCGGATTCTTCTCATGTACTTCAACAACGTAATACAACCCCAGGAAGGATATTTCCAGTCAGTCATCTGCAACTCACTGGACTTCCGCAATTTCACTGTGAACAACGACTTGAGGTTCGTGGTGCGGGATGATTCCGCTCAGACAAAGCCCCTTTTCCTGAGCAGAGAACATTACGGCCACATGGTGGATAGTGGGGCGCCTTTTGCAAGGCCGTTTCAGGAGAATGATCCTCTGCTGGACCAGATTGACAGCAACATACTCAAGCGTTGGAGCCATGGACCAGTTCCTGGTGCCTGGTGCACAGGTAGGAAGAGGTGGTTCAGTGATCCATGTTCCCAGTGGGGCAATGTGAATATTGTGAGACCAGGCCCTCAAGCAGTGATGTTACACCAGTATGTAAATCGGACCTTAGAAGAAGCAAAGTCTAGCAGCAACTCATGCAGGCGGTAGCAGCATTGGCGTCAAGGATCTCATATCCCATGGTTGAAAGCTTTGAGCTTTTTCCACTTATCCACCAAGGGTTCTCCACTCCGCTGAATAAATAGTCGCCACATGCTCTTTCCTGATATTTTCATGACGACTATCATAGTCACAGATCAGGAGTTCCACTTGGGTCTGTAATTAATCTGCTCAATCCCCCATATTTGGCTCATATGACACTTCAAGGCAGATAGCTTAGACCCGATAATAGGTAGAAGCTTATATAACTACTGTTGTTTATATGTTGTGGTCATTTATTGAACAGCTTATGTTCGTGCTAGTAGACAAAGTTATGAATCCCTTATGCCCCCCTGTTGTGAGGACTGGAGACGGTGTAGAATAAGGGATCTTGTTACTTCTTAGACTTACATAATATATGCCTAGTCCTGTACCTAGAACTAGGCTCCAATTGTCCCAGTTTACCTTTGAATTTTTTCTTCTCTTGCATTGTTGTATCGATATACTATATTTTTTCTCTGGAAAATTCTCTGTATGTGCATTTGGACACTAAAGAATTTGTTTGCTCAATGCCGATTCTGTACTGGAATGCTGATGATGTACTACAGTTTGGCATGCGGCCATGGAGAAATCTAACTTCAATTTGGATAAAGGAACCTGTTCTATATAAATCGGGAAGGAATTCTTTTGTGGATTCTATGTTCAAATGTCAGGCAAAAATTTCGAATGAGATTTGAACCTTCCAAAATTTGTTGAAAATTCCCATCGTGCCAGGTGGAGCTCGGCAATTCCAAAAGTTTGCAGGGTGAAACTGAAAAACATATACAGCACCTTAGGCGGCTGCAAAAGGCCGCTACCACTACCAGTGTTTTAGAAGTCAGAACTCGACATCTTCAGAGGGTTGCTCCAGCGAGACGTGTAGCCTGAGTCCTTGCTGAGGTAGAACTGAAGCTTGAGGACAAGCTTGAGGAAATCAGGGATGCGCCTGAAACGGCAGAAGCCGCCTTCTCGGGGATGCGCTGGTGGCGCCCACAACAAGGAGAAGGAGAAGGAGAAGGGATCCTCCGGGGCGCGGCCGGCGGGCGCAGCGGCAGCGGTCGGGTACGTGTCGGTGGAGGACGCCGACGCCCTCGACTGTGGCGTCTGCTACCGCCCGCTCAAGCCCCCCATCTTCCAGGTACACCCTAAACCCTACACGCGCCCACGCATTGCCCTGGAACCCATGTCCTGCAACTGCAACCAGTACACAGCGCTCTAGTATGAGTACCTAGCAACCTGATTTCCAGCAGTTCCTTTTGAAAGGGGCACATTTTTGACATTCAAGAAACGTTTCCACCAGCTGAAACCACAGGACACTTTCTTTCAGTTAATAAACTGCAGACATGCTACAGTATGAATTAAGTTTTCGTGGCTCATGGATGCCTTCGCATCCGCAAAGCCAAAGGCCAAAGCATTAAAAAAGTTTGCAATTAGGCACAAGCCATTAAAAAAGTTAAGCTCCCACGAGTGCCATCGTTCTGAACTTCTTTGCTCTCCAAGCCATTCTGTCTGTTGGTTTTTACATATGAGCCCAGTCAGTGTAAACGTCTAAAATACCCTTCTCTTGTCTTATCCTCTTGCTTCTTTCTCTCTCTGTCTAGTGGGGCCAAACTGTCAGCGACCCGGCTCCACCTTCCTCCTCGCCATGGCCACCTTGCGCGCCGATCTTGATGGTGGTGGAGCTTCGCCACGCCAGCGCCATGCACAGGCGGAGCTTCGCTTCAGCTGCGCTCACACGGCGGCCAAAGTGAGCTCCTCCTCGGCTTCACTGGAAGGACGCCTGCCGAGAGGGCACGAATCGAGGTTCTTGAGCCGCTCGTCTTTGCTGCTGCAGCTCCCCTTTGCGCTCCCTTTGCTCACCCCATCCATCACCGCCTTCACCACCACCTCCCGCGATGGCGGCTCTCTCGCCGACGACCACCACACACCGCTTGGTCCCGCTTCGCCATGCGGTCGAAAGCACGCGCATGGCGTCGTCGTCGGACTTGTTAGGCGCTTCTTCTTTGCTTGGTGACCGGAACTGAGTGCGGAGAGAGCTCGTCGCGTGGTCATGCTTTGGATGGTATCGTCGTGTTCGGTTGATGCTCCGTGGCGACGATGACGAGACGGCCTTCTCGATGTTGGCCTTGACCGGAGCTGGAGAAGCCGGCCCTCGCGCGCATGACGCCGGGCGGCTGGGGTCGTCGAGGATGGAGATGATGAGTCGCTGATGCCGACCTTGGCGGCGAGCACCGGCCGCGGCGGTTGTCCCCCTGTCGCCCTCCTTCCACTACGCCATGGTGCTTTGGTGTGCTGCTGCGCTTGAAACGCGGCGACGAAAGCGCGTTGGACAACCGCGGCGTGCGCTTCCGTGCCCGCCATGGTGGAGGGGTGGGGTGGAACATGACGGCGGCGGCGGGCCGGTACCGTGGGGAGGCGGTTGAGCGCGACGTTGAAGCGAGCTCGGCGCCTTTGCACCGCAGCGGTGGGAGTGAGCGGAGGGCGGCGGCGCGAGGAGCCCCGCAGCCGAGAGCATGGCGCCGCGACGTGGAGCGGGTCACCGAGCTTGGCGCGTCGCCGGCGGGCGGGCCACGGCTTGCCGTACCACGGCCGCCGCCTCTGCTGCCAGCCTGCCGCTTTGCCGCACCACGCAGCCCGCCGCTCGCTCGCATCCTACGCTTGCTTGCTTGCTCGCTCCTGGCGCTTTCTTGCCGAGATGTCCGTCCTCAAAGAATCGATGCAATTTGGGAGCAACGTCAGGCGCGAGTGCTGGCATCAAGTTCCCTAAGCGTCCCGCGAGAGGACCGCCCAGAGCGTCTCCCGGGGAGCTGCGGACCGCCACGCGACCGTTGTCGCAGGAGACCCCGTCCACGAAGCACGTGCCAGCGGCGTCCCGAGACGTTCCACGCCAGCGCCGCCTGACATCATCCGCACGGAACACCGAGCGCCCGCAGCGTCGCTTCGCGAGGTTGTCGGCCCTTGCCAGCCGCCAGCCCGCCGCGCGACAGTAGGAGCACCGGGAGCGCAGATCGAGGCGCAAGAGGCGCAGAGAGAGAGAAAAGTTTGGGTGGGCGACAAACGGACCCCAATTTGTAGGGTAAAATGGTCATTTCACCTGTCTGTTTGACACCGTTAAATTGAAAAGCGGACGGAATGGCTTGGAGGGCAAAGAAGTTTAGAACGATTGCACTCGTAGGAGCTCAACTTTTTTAATGGCTTGTGCGTAATTTCAAACTTTTTTAATGGCACATAGGTAAAAGCCTCTCATTTCTATCCCTGCAAATTGCATAGCAGCGACAACTTTATCATCTGTAGTAAGACTGACTCCAACAGAGTAAGCATAGCGTGACCCAAACCCAAAATGGGTTGTTCACAGTGTTTTATCCGCACAAAACAAGCTCCAACAGACTAGGCAAACGAGTGACCCATTTTGGGTGGGAGCCGACGGGGGACGCAAATAAGCGTCCTCTCTTCGTCCTTCTGCGTCTCCACGCAGGCGCCAGGCCCACCACCACAAGGGAAGGGGACGGTCGGAGCCTAGCCCGGCGAGAGCAGCGCCTCGGGGTCGCAGCACCAGAGCCGGCTCAACGCGGATCGGAGCTGAGGAAGGGGGTCGCAGGTGCCGCTCCGGCGGACCGTAGGGCCACGCCGCCAGTGCCGCTTCGCCGGCAAGGGGAGGAGAGGGCGGCCGGATCTCGTGTTGAGGAAGGTGGTTGCAGGTGCCGCTCGTGGTGGGGACGGAGGCGGCTCTCACCCGCGGTGGTGCTCGCCCGCGGCGGCGCTTGCGAGGCGGCGGACGAAGGGGTCGCGCCGCGAAGGGGCCCGCGCCAGGGACGTTGCCGGAGCTTGTCCGCGCGAAGGGGCACCGCGCCTCGCCAGATCTCGCGCCGGAGCTCGCAGCTCTGTGGCCGGCCGTGGGGAAGACGAAGACGGAGGAGCAGGCAGCACTGGGTGGAAGAGGAGGAGGTCATCGTCGTGGAGGTGTGCACCGGCACGGCGAGGCGGGTCCGCGGCGGCGCGCGGGCTTCTCGTTTGCGTTGGCTGTTGGAAAAGGGAAGTTTTGGGTCCGTGACCCTTTTACTATGCGCTACCCAAACCATCGAATGCCTCTCGTTTTTAGGTCCGGGCTGTTGGAGACAGTCTAAGCGACACAGCCCATGATTGCAAGCAATTGGTTTCATACAAGGAATTTGATGGTCATGTGTTTCTTCCTATATGTCATGTTTTTATACTATTTCCTTAACCCCCAGATTTACTTCACCCCCACAAAAATCTGCCCAAATTGCAATTCAATAACCCTGCACCAAAAACACGATCCCCAAATTGTAAGGAAGTTGCTTTATCAGCCCCAATTTGATATAAACATGTCCATCCTTGACTGGCTAGAGCCGCACAGTCAGGAAATAATTTCTTCCCCAAACAGAAAGATGGTCTACAGGTTCATCCTTGTCACAAAAATGACATTTTATATCCGAATGGCAGCTGTGCTGAGTAATTGATATCTAGTGTTGGTTAAAAAGAACCCGCTTAATATGGGGATAAGAGGAGAAACACCACAGGGGTGGAAGGGGACAGTGGAGGAAAACTCTGAAACAGATGAGGAAACAGAAAGAGGAAGCTAAATAAACTAGGACAATACTGTCAATACTATCTATGTACTTAGTATGCTGTAGGTCCAGCCGAATCTGAGTTCACTGCAATTCTAGGAAATTTCTTTTTTCTTTTGACATTTGATCCCAAACTTTCTATCCATAACAAAACCAGAATACCTTAATCCTTCGATATATTTAGTACTTCCAGACTTTAATATTTGAATAGAACCTTCTTTTTGCCACTTATTTATTAGTTAACATGCTTTTGTTAGATTTACACATGCATCTGGTCCTTACCAGCCGTGAATAATTTCTAAGAGCCTAGACTTGCTCCAGACTTTAAGCTACATCCCTGTAAGGATCATGAACAATAAACACAGTTCAGGGAATTCGGATTTCATAAAGGGCAGTCCCCTGTTAAACTTTCTTCTCAATTTCAAACCTTTTAACAATTTCCTAGCACGAATTCCAAATTCCTGTGAATTTATCTAAAAGACCATAGCCTCTTTTTAAAATTCAGTCTCCTTTAATGAGGTAAGATGCTGTTATCTTGCACCTAATGTTTTGTGGTGCAGGAGTCAGTGTTGTTCCTGATCATTGTCATCAAACTGGCTTAAACAGGAGCTCTCTCCCTCCAGCAAACAAAGTCATCGTTCTCCAAACAGTTAATTTGGAATTGGACTTCTCCAAACTCCATCGATATTATGATTGCCCGCCCATACCACTAGCTCTAGTCCTAGAGCATCAAAAGTACCCATATTACCTGAAGGCACATATTTCTCAGCAGCAATGCCGTTACCCAGCCTGTTCGTTTGGCTGTGGCTTATCGTAAACGATCGTAAATTTTCAGCCGGAACAGTATTTTTCTCTCACACAAACCAGCCAGCAGTACTTCTTCACGAACCAGCAACGATACGAACCAGCCAACCGAACAGGCTAACCATCTCAGCCAAGCCTCTTAAAATTGCCAGTCCCTTTTCCCCCTTGTCCTCATCAGATTTCCTTCGTTATCTGTGCCTTCTGGATGATAATTAGTTAATTATACTCAGTTTCAACTTTCAACAGTGCCTCTTAAATCCAACTATGAGCCTCTACCTCCACTGAAATTTGTATATAAGGCTATTATCAGCATGCAAACAGACTGGAAGATTTCACGATATGTCATTAAATATTTAAATATAGTCATAACTCAGGATTTATTTAACTCAACGTCTCAATGACATGTGGGGTCTGTTTGTCCGTGTTACATCTCAGATCAAGTTTCCTGAAACACCCTGTACCGTGCTCCATACTAATCTAGAGACACTTTACCTGATTTCAATGTTCTAACAGTACTGTGCTCCATACTCATTACCTTTTTATACTACGGAGCAATTATCACATAAAAAGGAACATATTATTACAAACAAATCCTAAGAATTGATCACATGGTAGTGGAACTTGTCAATGTCATAGTTTGCCATTTGGCTAAAAACTGATCGTGTGTCAAGCATAGACACTTCGAGATATAGCTCACAAATTACTGAACTCCCAACATAATCTGGCTAAAAAAAGGAATTTTCTTTGAATGTTCCTTTGGAAAGTTCTCGGTTACCTCTGGTTTTACCTTTAGCCATAGATGTTTATAGTGTTTATTTATTCATGGATAATTTCAACTTGATTACACATTGTAGAGAATTAGGGAAACACCTCACACCCAATTAGGGGGGGTGACTTTCATATATATAGTCAAGATACAACTTGGGGTACAAGTAACATGATATACATGTGTTAGACTACACATATCTCTAATACACATGCTGATGCATACCTCTGCAGTGTAACGAGGGCCATGTGGTGTGTTCGTCATGCCGTGACAAGCTTGCACCGGCTGGCAAGTGCCATGTATGCGGCATTGCCACAAGCAGCTACCACAGGTGCCATGCCTTGGAGCGCCTGGTGGAGTCCATCCGCGTCCCATGCCCGAATGCGGCCCATGGCTGCAACACCAAGCCAGCCTACTACGACCACTATGGCCACTGCAAGACGTGTCCATATGCACCGTACCGCTGCCTGAGCAAGGAATGTAGCTTTCCTGGCTCAACAGATGCGCTCCTGGACCACTTCGCTAGTGCACATGGCTGGCCTTCCACCACCAAGATTGGTGTGTTTGAGAGGCACAGCATCTGCCTCTATGACGGCTTCAACTTCCTCCTTGCTGACTGTGCTGAGGACGACAATCATGGAAGCACTACCACCACCATCAGCAGCAGTAAATACCTGTTCCTCCTGAATGTGACAAGGCAGTCGCTTGGCCGTGCCATCACCGTGCACCTCATCAGTCAGGAGTCACCCTCAGAAATACTAAGATGTGTGCTCAGCTATTCACTGGTAGTCTATGACCCTTGTGAGCGCTGTAAGTTCGTGGCCAGCCATTCTCTGCAATCTGAGATCAATATGGAATGCATGGACCTCTCCAATGGGCCGCCTGACCCTGCCGACTGCTTCCACTTTGTTGTGCCAGATTCCGTTCTTGGAGACAAGAACAAGGAGGATCCTATCCAGGTCAATGTCTGTATCAGCATCATCAATCTGCAGTAGTTACCTGTTGTTGTTGTTGTTGTTAGGCTAGTACCTCATGTTATCCACCACCACTTTCATTCTTGGTGTTTCTATATGTATGCAAGAGTCGATGTCATTTCAAGTGGCATGGCAATGACAAGAGTGTAGAAACAATAGACACTAACATGTCTTGTATCCAAACTAAGAATGACATGCTAGCATATCCCATTCTGTAGACATCAATCGTCTGATGGGGTGGCAGAGTGGTTGCGAATGCCAGTGACAATTATATTAGCTCGAATATGTTTTACTACCTCTATGTTTGGTTGAATTAGTAAAAAAAAAATGAAATTGATTCATACAATAATCTGATGGAATGATGAGGATCTTAGGTAGCAACACTATCGCTTTAATAAGTCACAAAGCAGTAGTGCTTTGTGTGTGTCTGCCTGGCCTCACTCTTCTGAACATTGCTATCTCCATGAAATGTAATGTACCCGGAGCTTTGAAATTGTCCCAAATTATAAGAGATTTGTCATTGCTCAGCTTAGCTTAAAAAGACAGCATTATCATGCACACCAACCTTTAAGATATATCACCAACCCATATATATAATAATTATTATGTCTTCACAATTATGGGAGGGATATATGCATCATTTGTAGCTCATGGCAGAGAGGAATACATGTCTCAGAAGAGGTACCTAATACCATTCAAGTGCTCACAGCTGAATGATTTCATTGGCAAGCTGATGTTGTACACTTAGTTACAGAAGTGGTGTTGTGACTTGTGAGCACCAAACGCTAACAGACGCTGACACAACACACACAATACACAGGAGTGTGTGATCCATAACTTGGGGACGTTGTGGAGAGCCGAAGATCCGGTAGAAAGTTACTAACAGCCGCGTTAACAATTCAGTATGCATAAAGTAATTAAATCACAGGAGGAGCTTCTCTAGTTTGGCAGCTTGGATTTCATGCTGTCACATCTCAGCACTTGAACACGCCTCTGTTCACTACAACTTCGCCTAATGTAGGAAATTCCCGTGAACCTGATAATACTCAGAGATTAAGTCGATGCTTCGTATCGTCCAGGAAGGATGCTGCATGAAGGCACACATAGTCAACGAAAGAAAGAAGCAGAAACTAAATTCAGTTTTGCAACCTATGAAACTAGCTTGTTGGAGTCAGTCAAAACTCAATGGTATCAGGAGAGATCCCTACTCGGGAACTTTTGTGATGCAAGATCGATCAATTTTTACACGAAGGGAGACCGTATTTCCATGATTTTGGGTCCATTAGTTTAGGCCCTGCAGATGGACAACAATGTAAGAATTCTCTGTGCATCAACTGCATCATAGTAAAAAAAAAGTAAATGTATACTAGGTAGCATGCCCGTGCGTTGCTATGGGACAACTAAACTTTTATACTAAAAACACACGGATCGCACGATAAGATAACAATACTGTAAAATTAAATATGCATGTTAATTCAAAAAGTAAAGTTCGTGAAATTAACAGTCACGCACAGCACGGCATTGTCTGTGATACGCTTAAGATAGTCTTGTGGCTCTACATGAGTTGAAATTATCCTAGAATTCCCGTCATAAGCCAACAACTGGATTACAAAGTCCTTTCGTAGCCTTCGACCATCCTGTGCAAAGTCAGATATAGTATTATAGATTGATGACCAACATATTAGGTTTCAGACTAAACTGTGGTAGACAGAAACATGCAAGACGGAGAGGAATATCTTCAAATAAAAAAAATACAAAATTGATTTTGTCGGATAGTGAACAGTGTTAGACAAAGGCCTAAAACTAAAGCTACTCTGAAACACAAGACTAAACTGATCCTATAGAGTTACAAGAATTAGTAATTACAACTATCAGCATGACAAGTCCAGGTTCTCAACATGATGGTCCCGTTCGACCAGGCGCCATCTCATCGAGCAGGGCGCATCCCGTCGGTCAAGGCGCGTCCGTTCGAATTCCTGTCAGCATCGATTTCCCATCTGTATTAAATAGGGGAAGGGAGAGGGTTTTTTGTCCCAACCTTTTGCCTTTCTTTAGCTGCTGCGTCTCCTTCTTAAATGGGGGGAGGTAGGGGGTTCTCGTCCCCATTCCCTCGCTTGTTCTTGAGCTTCTATGTCCTCTCCTTCCTTTTCACCGAATGCGTTCGTGCGTCGCAACGGTTCCTGAGTGAGAGAGGGTAATGCCAGGGAGAGAAAAACTCACAGATCCGCTCGTGAATCCGGAGCGCGATGTCGAGGTGGAGGTCATCCAACGTAGATGAGATGGAGTCGGCCGCTTTCGCCGAGAAGGGGCCCCTTCCGCCGAAAGACGAGGCGCACTGGAGGGTGCTGAGCGTCATCGGCTTTGTCGTTGTCCGCGAGGCCTTCACCGGGATGGACCTGTATGGGGGCCTCCTCCGGCAAATCTTCTCCGGACGAGCCTTATTGATGGGGAAGCCGCGTAGGACTGCGTCGATGGGGGGTTTCGCCCTTGTAGCCGCTCAGATCGGCTAGTTCATGAAGTTTGATGAGATGTCAGAGACATCCATCAGCCATGGCGGCCTTTCTTTGGCGGGGAGTGCCCCCGTCTAGGTGCCATTGTTAGGGTTGCGGCTGATCACGATGGCGTAGTCCCTGGATGCCCTGGCGAAGGTGCCACGGTTACTGGCGTGGTGCTCGACATTGCAGACGATGGCACCCTTAGGGATCCTACGGAGCGGTAGGACGTTGCCGATGGAGAGCGTGGCGCGTCGACCGCAGTAGTACTTAGAGTAGATCTAGTCAGAAAGTGTAATCATTTAAGTTATGGGGGAGCCCCCATGGAAATAGTCTTTTGTATTCATGAATACATCAGTCCCTTTTTGTGATAAAATCACTTTGTAAGCGATGAATTTGTGCAAAAAATGAACAAGTTCTTAAATTTTGTTACGGCAAACAGCTTTTCAGCTCTTCTCCCTCTTTTTGTAAAAGAGGTTTAGTGCCTTCCGACCCTTCCCATAGTTAAGGTCGCAAAAAAGTCGTAGTGCGGGCGAGCCAATTCTGATCACGCTGGTGAGCAAGGAGGCCGTAGCCGTTGGGGCATGGGTTTTCTACAGTCCTACCAGTTATACTCAGATTTTGTTCCCAAAATCCTAGCCTTTAGGACTTATCATGAGAAAAGAGGGAAAACACAGAGAATGTTTGCAAGATAACACAGAGAGTGTTTGCAAGATAAACGTACTTATATCAACCCCCAAGTGAAGTCCAACCCCTCGCACTTTGCAGGGGCCGGAGTACTTCTGCGATGACGTACGGCCCCTCCTAGGGCAGGGAAAGCTTGTGACGGTCCTTGTTGCTCTGCACAAGGTGGAGAACCAGGTCCCCGATGTTGAAGGCTCGGTCCCACACTCGTCTGCTGTGGTACCGACGCAGCGCCTACTGGTACTTGGCTGAGCGGAGGAGGGCGACGTTGCTAGCTTCGTCTAGCTGGTCCATGGCGTCTTCGTGGGATGCCTTGGCTCCCTGTTTGTCGTATGATCTGATCCTTGGCGCTCCATAGTCGAGGTTGGTTGGGAGGACGGCCTCGAAACCGTAGACCATGAAGAAAGGCGTATAGCCGGTGGCTCGGCTGGGAGTTGTCCTTAGGCTCTAGAGCACCGCAGGGAGCTCGGTGACCCAGCGTGTGCCGAACTTGTTCAACCAATTGAAGATCCAGGGCTTGAGGCCCTATAGGAGCATGTCGTTTGCGCGCTTGACCTGCCCGTTCGTTCGGGGGTGTGCGACGGCGGCCCAATCGACCCGGATGTGTTGTTCATCACAGAATTGAAGGAATTTCTTACCAGTGAACTGTGTGCCATTGTCCGCGATGATGGAGTTTGGTACTCCAAAGCGACGGATGATGTTGAGGAAGAATAGCACGACTTTCTCGGACTTGATCACGAAGATCAGCCGAGCTTCGATCCATTTTGTGAACTTGTCTATGGTGACAAGTAAGTGGGTGTAGCCCCCGGACGCCTTCTTGAGAGGCCCAACTAGATTGAGCCCCAAGACCATGAAGGGCCATGTGATGGGGATCATCTAGAGTGCCTAGGTCAGGAGGTGAGTTTGCCAAGCGTAGTACTGGCACCCTTCGCAGGTGCGTACGATCTGCTCAGCGTCGGCTATTGCAGTGGGCCAATAGAAGCCCTGTCGAAACGCGTTCCCAACCAAGGTTCTAGGCATGACGTGGTGACCGTAGACCCCACCATGGATATCGCTTAGCAAAAGCTTCCCCTATTCGATGGGGATGCAGAGCTGTAGGATCCTGGTGTAGCTTCATTTGTAGAGTTCACCTTCTACAAGGACGAAGGATTTGGCGTGATGTGCGAGCCGTCGGGCTTCCATCTTGTCTGTTGGTAGCATGTCACGGAGGAGGTAGTCGAGGTAGAGCATTCTCTAGTCGATCAGAGGGTTGGGCTCTATCACTAGATCCTCTTCAAGCTCCATGACCTCAGGGCCAGACGGAGCCGTCGGTCGGTTAGCCCCCGAGGCTGGATCAGACGGGCCATCGTTGGCCCGTTCCAACCCTTCATAGCGCACTGTGGGTTTGTGTTGGTCGCTGGCGAAGACACCCGTTGGCACCGGCTCTTGACCGGACGCCGCTTTTGCAAGCACGTCGGCCGCCTCATTGAGGCACCTTGGGATGTGATTGAGTTCGAGGCCATCAAATTTGTCCTCCAGCCGTCGGACTTCTTGGCAGTACGTAGTCATCTTGGCGTCGTGACAGCTCGACTCCTTCATGACTTGGTTGACGACCAGCTAAGAGTCACCCCGGATGTCGAGGCGTCGGATGCCCAACTCGATGGCGATGCGTAGGCCGTTGATGAGTGCTTCATACTCAGCCACATTATTGGATGGGGGGAAATGGAGACGAACCATGTACCTCATGCGGACCCCAAGGGGTGATACGAAGACCAGCCCCGTGCCGGCGCCCTTCTTCATCAGCGATTCATCGAAGTACATCATCCAGTACTCTTGATCGATGACCACCGGTGGTGTTTGGGCCTC